TATTTTATAGTCTTAGTGGATTACGTGATTTATTCTTATTATAGTCTTAGAATTGAACATCTTTGTGTATAATGTAGTTTTACCTCCTTCTGTTACTTAAGCCAGTGAGATTGAAGTTCTCCCTATGAGTCCTAGCAGGTGTCTGCATCACAGGATTTGGGATGCTTACAGGGTAGAGCTGTGAATCTTACCAGTTATGATGACTCCCTCTTCTCAAGCTGAATCCCCACCCATTTTCTGCCTGCATCTAGTCACTCTCCAACTTCTTCAGAAAATACTTTTAATTACTTTTTAATTCATTACTCCAGTCTAAAGCTTATTAGTAGGCTTATTGGCATTCCCTTTTTTTCTTCTTGTATGGTTGGATTGGATTGGTATTTCTAATATAGATAGATGGATAGATACTTATACAATATATCAGGGGATCTATACATAGGTATATAATTAGCTGATATATACATAGGTATACATATGTACAGCTGATTAAATATGAATATTTAGTTACTTTTAACTTCTTAAAAAAATCTTAAATGAATTTGCTGGGAACTTACTTTTTTAACTTACTATTATATTACATTGATTTGCCCATATTCCACATGTATTATTATTACTGGAGCTCCATAACTGGGTGTCATGCTACTGTGTGACTGTCCCAGAGCTTATTTATCCCCTCTTATGTTGATGGACACTTGGGATTGTCTTCCATATTTTTGTTCTTTAAAGATTCCCTCTTTGAACATTTGCATTTAGCTATGGGTTATATACTTTGGAGAAAATATTACTGTGTTGAAAATGAATATGATATTTAATTTTAGATGATAATATATTCTTATTCAAAGTGATTAAACTACTTTTTAATCCTATTGCTGTTCTATAAGAGTTTGTATGAATCCACATCCTCTACCACCTTTGGTGGTATTTTTTCTCATTGACTTAAGTATAAATAAGTATCACAGTGTTTTAAATTCTCTGATTATTAATGATATTAAGCATCTCTTCATATTTATTGTTTGAAAGTAATTACTTTTCTTTTAAATGTCTTATTTATGTCATCACTCCTCATTTTTTTGTTGACGTGTGGGAGTTCTATAATTGGTATACCACTGAACTCTAGACCACTTATATTCAATTATTTTTAATTCATTAGAAAGATATTTGGTCTTTGACTGTTACTGCTCACTGACCACCTATTTAATTTGCAAACCTAGCCAGGCTCTGGATCCCTTTATCATGCTCCTTCTTTTCTACCTTAGCATCTACCACCTTTGCCATGTTACACATTTTTATTACTTATGTCTTACTGTCTTCCCTTATAGTTACATGTAGGTTGCTACATGATAAATATAGAGCTTGAGAGTGTGTAATTCAGCTTTCCAGTTGCTAGATAAAACGTCTGCCACACACGTTAAGAGAGGAGAGGTTTAATTTAGCTCATGGGTTCAGAGAATTCAGTCCATGGTCAGATGGCTCCAAGACAGAAGCATCATGGTGGAGGAAAGCTGCTTATTTCATGGAAGCCAGGAAGCAGAGCAGGGGAACAATGCCAGAGAGGAAGGGGCTGGGTACCAGTTAGGGTACCCAAAGTCACATCTCCACCATCTACCCAAGGCACACCTAGAAGTGTGCTTTATGGTTGGTCCTTTACTAATCCCTTGGGTGGCTCTAAAGTCAATCAAGTTGACAACCCTGCTTAACTGTCACAGTGAGTAAGCATTTATAAACTTTTATAGCAATTAAAATACTGTCATTTTAGTATATTACAATATTATTGTCTAGTGAATTGGAAATTGAAGAAACTGATTCTTCAACACGCTGACAAGCATGGTCTAGGTTATCTCACACCTCTATGACATAGTGCTTGAATAGCTCACTGACCAGAACACAGGCAAATGGTTTAACTACCTTCATGCTTGAAACGATGTTTATATACTACACAAAATGTAGCTGCTAACAAAAGATGAGCATTTGGTTTTCTAACTTAGTGAGGTGGTATGTTTTTCTAGTGGACATTTCTATTTTATTGATATTCCTATGTTTATAACTGAACCTGGGGTATTTGTTTCATACATACATATGTAATTGTGTGCGTGTGTGTGTGTGTCTACTTTTAAAGTGAAAGGGAAAACAAGCCACTGAAATATATGAAATTCAAGGATTGCACACATCTTCTGCTTAATTGTTTATGCTTTCAATTCTCATGTTTTTCATTTTCCAGTTTGCAATATGGTTATTAAATTCATGTCTTCTTTGGACTGTGAACTCTCTGAAGGTGTGTGTCAATTTTTTACAAGTACCTAGGTTCATAACCTGGCTTGTTGACCCCTTGGTTTCTGGCTAACTGTAAATGCATACCTTGTGTGTTTTGTACTGTATTATTTCCACATAAAATGGTAGTGATATTTTTCACCTTCTGGAGTAAAGTTCTGCAGAATCCTTAGATGAAACTAGTCTAAATTAATCAAAGTATTGTCAGGTAAAAGGGCCGAAGACCAAGACCAGACCAGGCCACAACAAGCCTTTATTAGGGGAATAGATCTGCCGGGCCATCTCTGAACAAAGGAGAGACAAAAGCAATATGGCTGGGGCAGGGAGAGTCTTTTATAGAGACTGGGGTGGGGTTTGTAGGGGCTGAGGCGGGGTTGATTGAGGTAGTGACTAGGGAATGGAGGAGCCGGTGATGTCACTAGGTGGTAGGAGGTGAGCGAGTATTAGGTTACTCTCTAGGTGGGAACAGGGGCATGCTGGGAAGAAGGGTTTGTTCTTTGGTGGGAGCAACCATCTTGGCATGACGTCACACAGGAGAAGGGGCAAGGCACCATAGGAAGAGGGCAGCAACTATACATAATAGCTGCTGAGGTGGTGGGAGACCTATCAAGTATAGACCTCCAGTATTTTGAAATAATTTTCACATCATATAAACACCTGCTTGCTTTTATTGTAAGTTAATACTATCAAAATAAATATTTCATAATAATTGTATGGTATTTTATTAGAATAAATCCATAGTAGAAAACTTATCCAAAAAGCTAATATATAACTATATTTGTGAACTATAACTATGTCTGTGAAAATAGAGTGGTTAGTGAGGTCTGACTGCTTGGAAACAAAGAGCAAGGGTTTCTGTATGTCTTTTACTTCCCGAATAATTAATGTACCTCAGTAACTGCAGAGTAGCAGGGGCTATATTCAGGCTAGTTGAGAAAACCTACATAAACACTCTGGTACCTAAAATGGATTAATGTTGGCAGATAACATCTTGATTTTTTTCCCTGCAGATAACCAAATTTTTTGCAAGTATAATTTTAATGTATTTTCTAACAAAACTGTGAGTAGATTGTGACATGACTTCAGAATAAATCTGTCCTTAAGATGGGATCAGACTTGGGGCCAGGGATTTAGCTCAGTGGTTTTGCCGCCTGCTGCGCAAGCCCAGGGACCCAAGTTCGATCCCCGGCACCCCAAAAAAAAAAAAAAATCAGAATTTAAGATGGGATCAGACAAGTAGAAAATCACCATTATAATGGAAATCAGACAGACCTAGGTTAAAAACTGGTCTTTGCTGAATTTACTTGAAATGTCCATGCAGATATCAAACATCCTCAGCTCTTATTTATAAAATGGAGGCATGAGTTTATTCATTTTATCAGGTTGTCATGGTTAAAAATTATGGATAATTTATATAAATATGTAAGGACCACTATAGGAACTCAAGTAGGTACTGTGTGTGTGTGTGTGTGTGTGTGTGTGTGTGTGTGTGTTGTAGTATAATTGGCCATTTATATCCACAGATACAACCAACTACAGACCAAAAATGTTTGAAAAAAGCTGCATCTCAGCCAGGCATGGTGGTGCACACCCATAATCCTAGCATTTGGAAGGCTGAGACAGGAGGATCCCTGAGTTCAAGGCCAGCCTGAACTACAGAAATTCTGTCTCAAAAAACCAAAAAAAAATATATATATATATTGCATCTCTTTTGAACATGTCATTAGTTCCTTATCATTAGTTCCTAAATAATATAACTTAATAACTATTTACATAGCATTTTCATTGCAGTAAATATTATAAGTAATATAGAGATTATTTAGAATATACAGGAGGATGTGCGTAGATTCTGTGCCAAATACTATACCATTTTGTATAAGACTACTTGAGCATCTGTGGATTTTGGTATCCAACAGGGTCTTGTAGCCAATGCCCTACAGATGCCAAAGGACAATGGTATACATATTAGTGAACCCATTTTCTAGAGAAATCATTTATTTATTTACTTACTTATTTATTTAGGTGCTGGGGATTGAACTCAGGATCTTGCACTTTCGAGGCAGGCACTGGAACCACTGAGCTAAATCCCTGGCCTGAGAAATCTTATAGTATACACTCTTTATAGAAATGTAATAAAAGCAAAGCAAAATTAAGAGAGCAGAGTTTGGATAGGGCTTATTGGAAGAAAGAAGTCTTGTCCTGCAGCATTTCTCATGACTCTGAACAAGTTACCATGACCCTCCCTGATATCCATCATAGAGTCCTACAGCCCTAAAGAGTATAGCATAGGGGGCCAGGGATTTAGCTCAGTGGTTCCGCCACCTGCCTTGAGTTTGATAACTGGTATCAAAAAAAAAGTATAGCATAGGAACTATTCTATTGGATTTTATTTATGTATGTATTGCAGTGCTGGTGATTGAACCTAACTCTGTGCATGCTAGGCAAACTCTCAACCACTGAGCTGTACCCCAACCCTCTGTGGCACTTGAGTGCAAGAACTAAATTACTTCTTTTATTAACTAACACTGGTATAGAGTGTGATGTTACAGCACAATAAGTCATTTACCATGGCCTATTTAATGATTCTGTTAATTTGGCTCAACTACTACTGAAGTTCTCTTTCTATGTATTGGACTACTAAGTGGAGTTATAATTTGAGGTTCGTATAGCAAACCCACTAGAAATCATGCATCATTTAAAGCAGATAATGATAAAATCATTATTTTTCTTTTCAGATCTAGGTTGAAATTTGCCTCTGACAAACAAAATGATGAATGATGCAAGTGACATGTTGGCTGCGGCATTGGAACAGATGGATGGTATTATAGCAGGTAATCTAAAGGATGGAGTCATCACATTTATTCTGCTCCCTTGACTTTTTTATTACCATCCTCCTATTACCTTTCCATTCTTTCTCTTGTTCTCATTTTTTTGCCATTTTCCAATGTCTTTGGGTTTCCCATGATTTCATCTTTGTTCTTCTCTAATTCTACCAAAATTCTCAAATTTTATTTTAAAACATCAAAAATTCTAATTGTGCCTAGGTTTCTGATCAAGGATAAAGCATCTCGTATGGTTTTGGTAGTATAAGTGATGTGTTTACTTTCCCAATTCCTTGCTAAGGTTCTGGTCCCCAACTTAACTGCCAACCAGATATCCCTCCTGAAATGTTCTGTAGGCATATCAGTGTCATCATTTAAAGTACTGAGCTCAGGTCTGAGGATGTAGCTCGGTGGTAGAGCACTTGCCTAGCATACACAAGGCCTTGGGTTCCATCCATAGCACTGCAAAAAACAATAACAGCCAAAAAAAAAAAGAATTACTGAATTCATCATGTTGCCTCAGAAGTTTCTCTGAGGGTCTTTTTTAGTTCATTTCGTAACCCTCCGTACATAATTTCCTAAACCACATATTAAAATGATTTCTAGACCCTTTTCCTTTGATGTTTCCTATTTAGTTATTTAAGTTCTACCAGTTCTACCTCCTCTCAGATTTTGCTTTTTTTTTTTAATCTTGTCTGCAATCCATCCTGCCTGTGCTACTGTTACCTCACTGACCGAGTCACCCTCCCACTTGATGTCCTTAAGACTCTTGCTTTCTGCTGTAGTTCCTCTGTCTTTATACCACCATGATCTCTTCTAAAATAGCAGCCCTCATCATAGTGCTTCTTTGAAAGGGAACCTTCAGCAGCACTCTTATTATTGGAGCAGAGCAGAAGCAGTACCAGCACATTTTTGTCCTTTCACTGTAATGGGGGCTGATGAGATGAACTTGCTGTCACATTGTGTGTTTTGTCTCTAGAAAAATCCTTGTGTGTATTTAGGAGCTGTTACAGTGAGCAGAGGATTGACTGTAGGCTATTCAGTGTGGTTGTCACCTGCCCAGGGGTCAGGGTCAGGGTCAAGGTCAGGGTTAGGCTTAGGCTTAGTTGGGCCCCACCCCTTTGTAGGTTCTACCTGTTCTGGCCCTAACTGCTTAGCTTTTCCTGGTCATCAGTTTGACCCTGCTCTGTTTCGGTGGGTCTATGACACTGAAGGTGTTTTCTTGTTTTGAAGGTTCTTTTCCTCCTAAGAGATGGGGCATACTATAATTTGTTATGCTTATATGTCCTAGAGACCTGTCTTCCATTTTACCTCCTTTCCAGATTATTCATTTCTTGGAATTTCATTTTCAAAGGGTTATTTACAAACTAAACTTGTTTAGAGACAGTGAAGAGTTTAACAACTAAATCTAGTAAAGGTCAAGTTAAGGTCTGTGTAGAAAATGTTATTTTTGCTCTGAGCAGGATATATGCTTTGAAATAGTTGAGGGACTATTATCTAGAAAAGAGATTAGACTTCCTTTGACTTCCTTTTACTATTAGACTTACTTTTACTTTCAGAAAACATAACTAGAACCAATTCTAGATTATTATCAGACATTTAACATTAAATGCTTAGACCAACTGTAGTTGAGAGAAAGGATATTTCTGAAATGGTACTTGAAGTATTTATATTTTATCTTTTCTACTAGATTGATATTTAGCCCTAGCAACTAAATCAGTGAGAAGTGTTATGGGTAGGTAGGACCTGAGTTTATTCAAATTATTGTTAGTTATTGTCCAACTGAAGTAGGAGGGAAAGGAGGAAAAATGACTGTAAATACTTGAGGAATTTTTCTAAATACAGCTCTTTTCCTTGGTCCTTGTTTTATGAAGGAGACTTAATGGAATGGAAGCCTACCATAGACATATTTATTTTTAATAATACCATCATCAGGTGATCCTTAAAGCCACTGGAATAGGACACTAACCTGTCTGGATTTTGATACTCTTCTGTTCCTCCGTCCTCCTGACATACTCTCCTCGATTTGTATTTTGCTAGGTTCTCATCACAACCATATTCAGTTACCAAGTGCATTGATTCATAGGTTATGTGAGCACTATGCCTAAATACATCAACAGTGACTGTTGATAGTTTGGCAGACTTGAGTCCAGATCCTTTAGTCTAGTATTAGATCCTCTGGTCAGTGGATCCTCTGGCAGAAAGAGAATTTCTGTCCCTGGCAGTGGACTCAACCCAGGTGGTCAGAGAGAAAACTCACCTGATGGTGTCATCCAATCGTAGGATCTTTAGACTTATGAAGTGATAGCCTAAGTATTATAGTGACTGACACTCTCTCTCTCCCCCCATATATATGTGGTATCTGTGTATATGTTATATATGGTATAAAAGTCATATGCACATTTGACAGACCAGAAAATGAAAATCAAAGCTATGAAAGGTATACATGATTGCTTCCAGGACTGTCTCTTGGTCAGCTGTGAGAATTTAAGTAGCAGAATGTTTTCTCTTGTAAGTAATAGAAAACAAAAATAGTTGTGTAAATTTTTTAAAGCTGATGTTAGCAAGAGCATTTGATGCTTGTATTCAAACAAAATAATGGAGAAAACACATATTCAATGCATGTATGTAATTCATTGAACTTCAGAGGTAATTTAAATTCTGGTAGTTAACTGAGAGCTGACCTGCTTACCTTAAAAATATGCACAATCAATGTATAGCTCCCTTTCAAGGAATTTGAAAACTTGATGATCTCTCAAATTTGTGTTTTCTGGAAGGTGTGGATCCACTTGACCTGATTTGCCACCTTCTTATTCATCATTTCCTGAGGCCACCACATCTCACTCCAGATCCCAGCAGGATCTTTTTCTTTTTATAATGCACAGTTGGCCCCTTTGTTAGGTATTAGACCATTGTTTTGTTTTTTCATGAAATAACTATGACTTGGACAGATTTACTTGATTCAGTTATTATCTTTTCCCTATTTCTTGTTTTCATTATTCCTAGGACTAGACTGCTTTACCTCCTGCAACTGTAATATTTTATCTAACATAAATCCTACTGCTCTCTGATTTTTTTAAAATCTAGGTTCTAAGGCCTTGGAATATTCCAATGGGATTTTTGATTGTCAGTCTCCCACCTCTCCCTTCATGGGCAGCTTGCGAGCTCTGCACCTTGTGGAAGACCTGCGTGGATTATTAGAGATGATGGAAACAGATGAGAAGGAAGGCTTGAGATGCCAGATCCCAGATTCAACAGCAGAGACACTTATTGAATGGCTTCAGAGTCAAATGGTAAGTCTTTGCTGTCAATCTTTTGTTTATTCCAATATTTATAAGTATAATAGCTACTTAAGAAAACAAACCAAAAATAAATTACAGCATAACTGGTTTGCTTCTATTTTATTCCTTATGAGATTCTAATTCCTTTTGACTCTGAAAGTAACTTTTTAAAAATACTGTTACTGTGTATTTTATGAATGCCAACAGGTTACCTCAGTCTACCTACAGAAATGGATTGGCTTTTAGATTTTGTCTACATGGCCTACTGTGGCTTAAAACAAATAATCCTGTAAAAGAACCTTGTGTACAATAAATGCTTTCTTAATAATAATGAGAAGTTCACTAGAAAAGACTCAATAGCAATTATAAATGGAAAGTGTACTGAGCAGACATTTTAAAAAGCAATTGCAGCAGTATTTAACATGAAGTGCCATCTACTGGTGTGTGACACTCATTTCAGTTTCAGTGTTCAAATTAGGTTGTGCACTTGGGCGTTAAGTGATGTTCTTTTGCAGTGAACAATATATCTGTCTCAAAAATTGATTTGGCTAAACTGTCCTTTCTCTCAGCACAGTGATAAATACCATGGCTTTTATATATTGAACACATGAAATTTAAAGACAGTCACAAACAGATTCATTCAAAGGAGAAGATAGAAATAGTGGTATTTTGTAAATTTTTAAAAGATACTCAGTTTTCAGTAAGATGCATGAGTATGCTTTTAAGTTCATTGTGTTAATATAAAAACTAAGGAAAATTACATGAGAAGTCATGATCAGCAGTAGAAATGAAAGCTGTTTGCTCTGGGAACCTCAGTAGCACACCTTCCATTTTCGTGTGATACCCCCAGCTGGTACCCTCAGCTAGTCCTTGGCCAAATTCTTCCATTTCTAGGTGGGGATAATACAGTTCTTCTTTTAATGGTGGTATAGTCAGCTACACAACCTTAACAGTTAAAGGTACTTGGTATCTTATTGTTAAACTTTACGTTAACTCTGTGTCTCCTCCAGAGACTTAAGGGTCCACATTTGTTGATTTCTTTGGAATTGCTTCATGATCTGAAATTTGGTGTTTCTTAACATATTCTTTAGCCTATTTCTGCTTCTTTCTCACTACTTTTTTACCCCATGTTTTCATAGCATGCAGAAATATAGGGAGAAAGATATTTATTTCTGGTAGAAAAACCTTTTCTGGGGCCAGGGATTTAGCTCAGTGGTTCCACCGCCTGCCTTGCAAGCGCAAGGTCTCGAGTTCGATCCTTGGTAGCAAAAACCAAAAACCAAAAACAAAACCATATTTAAAAGGTCCAAAGGGGTAAGGGTAGTGGGAGGGGCAGGGGAAAGCAAGGGAAAGGAAAAATGCTGAGAAATGGAAATAAAGTCTTTGTAAATAGGGAAGGGTGGAGGGGGTGAAGGGAGGACTAGGAATGGGGAAAAAATAAGAACCAAGATGCATTATGTAAAGGTACAATTCCCAATGAGAAATGTAATTGTGTTGTGTACCTAAAATGTACCAATAAAAGAATTTAACAAAAAAAAAAAGAAAAACCTTTTCTGAATCCGTATCCAGAGGCCAACAGTGTAGCTATAGCTTAAGGTGACCTGTAGTTGAACTTCTGACTTGTGCTCAAGACATTTCCATTAACACCTGCTTAATCTGTTCTGCTGAAGTATTTCTGAGCATGGTGGAAGGTAGTAGTCACGATAATGCTGTTGTCTGAGTGTGAGTTAGGTTATGTCACTTGTCTTTCAGAAACTGTGGTGGTGACCTCAGTTGTCCTCAGCCTGGCCTCAGGGCCTCTGCATGGCTGTACCCTCTGTCTAGAAAGCTCCTTCCCCAGTTGTCTCCCTCCCTCGCATCCTCCTGCTGTTGACTCAGAAGCCATCTCTGTGACGCTCTTGCCACCTCATCTAAAATTGCACACATCCACTCCCTGCTTAATTTATGTGTATGGGCCAAGAATTTAGTTCAGTGCCACCGCACCTGCCTTGCAAGTGCGAGGTCCTGAGTTTGATTCCTGGTACCAAAAAAAAAGTTAATTTATGTGTATGTGTACTTGTCACTTTCATATCATTTATTTTCTGTCTTCCCAACCAGAATGTAAAGTAGTCTAAATCAGAGAATTTTGCATTTAAATAAAAAACAAATCACTGTATACCTGGTGTCCAGAATAATGCTTAGCATACAGTAAGTGCTCAGTAATTATGTTTGTAGTGAATGATAAAGTAATACATATATTCAGATGAACTGAAGTTACTTGTTTTAAATATACTTCATGGATGGATAATAGCTTGTTGATTTCTAGTTTTAGTTGTTTTCTGTCTTAATATTTGACATTTTGACTCCACAAAATGACAAATGCTTTACAGATCCTGTGAATATTCAGTTATCATATTTAAAATAATAACAACATAGAGTAGATGTGGATCTAGAGAGAGAAGTGTTTGGAGTTTGTTAAATTTATTTATACTTATCTATTTACCTATTCCCTGGTCTTAATCCCAAACCTTCCGATTAAATATGTTTTCTCAAGCATGCATAAAATGAAAGAATAAAAGAAGAAAGATGGCAAATGCCAAAAACCAAAGCATGAAGAATAGCAGAAACAGGTGTTTGGAAAAATAAAGGCACAAGTGTGAAATAGTCACTGTGTTCTTACCACTGTAGACTTTAATGTTAGAATCAAAAGACAGCCTGAACTAGCATTGAGAATCCAATAGGTAGAAGGTCTTATGCTGGGCCGGGGATTTAGCTCAGGGGTTTCGCTGCCTGCTGTTCAAGAGCAAGGACCTGAGTTCGATCCCTAGTACCCGCCCCCCCCCAAAAAGAAGGTCTTATGCTTGCAATTTAATGTAGTCTGAAGCCTCACTATGTAGTTCAGGCTGGCCTTGAACTCACTTTCTAGTGCACGCTGGCCTCAAACTTGCAGTGATCCTCCTGACCCAGCCTCCTGTGTGCTGGGATTACAGGCGTGCACCACCACACCCAGATTGTTTATGATTTTAAAATGAGAATATGTATACATTTTAGTTGGAATTCATTAAGTCTTCTTTCGTTTCTCTCTTCCTTCTCTTTCTCATTAGTAAGATACCTAGAATAGTTAAATTCATAGAGACAGAATGTAGTCTGCTGATTGCTAAGGCCAAGGGAAGGAGCAACTGAGAAGATGAGGGTAAAGAGTTTGACTTTTACAAGATAGAAAGATTTCTTCAGATGAATGATGGTGATATTTCCAAAACAATGTAAATGTACTTAGTACCACTGAACTGTGCTCTTAAATATAAATTTTACATGTGTTTATTGCCACAATTAAAAATGAAATTAATAATTGGTCATGGTGGTTTATACCTGTAATCCCAGCACTTGGGAAGGTGAGTTTTGATCACCATGAGTTCAAGGCCAGAGGGGCTCTACATACTGAGTTCAAGACCAGCCTGAACTACATAGTGAGACCCTGTCTCATTCATGAATGAGCAAGTAAATGTAAGGTAAAAATTGATGATATCTTAGAATTAAAGAAACACAAAATCCTAGCAAATCCCTTCTTTGTATTGTATATGAGGAAACTGCCCAAATAACAAATAAAGGAGGCCCTATAATAAAAATTCAGTGAATGATAAAGAAGGGAGGATTATATCTAGGCTGTTACAAATGCAGGCTCCAGAGACAACAGACTGAATTTTAATATTGTCTCAAACTCTGAGAAGCTTGTATGACTTTGGAAATTTTTCTTTTCTTTCTTTTTTTTTGTACTGAGAATTTAACATAGGGCTTCACACATGCTAGACAAGTGCTCTACTTCTGAGCTACATTCTCTGCCCTTTTTCACTTTTTAATTTTATTTTATTTTTAAACAGTCTCACTAAACTGCCCAGGCTGGCTTTGAACTTGCAATCCTCCTACCTTAGCCTCCTGAGTAGCTGGTATTGCAGGTATAGTATGTGCCACCATGCTCAGCTCCTAGAAAAATTTCTTAAGTTCTTTGTCCCAGTTTCTTCTTCTCTAAAATGTGGGTGATGATTTCTGCCATACATCATTATGAGGATTCCAGGGTAATATATGCTGATCATTTGTCAGTAAGCCTGACAGGTGACCAGTCAAAATGTGATGCTGGCTGGGCGAGGTGACACATGCTTATAATCCTAGTACTTGGGAGACTGAGACAGGAGAATCGCTGCAAGTTCAAGGCCAGCCTGGGCCACATAATCAATTCAAGGCTAACCTAGAATGGATAGAGACCCTGTCTCCAAAAAAAAAAGTGATGCTGACAGGTAGAAGCGAGAGGTGAGAGAAAATGTTTAACAAGGCCCCTTTGCATTGAGGGAGAGGGTTGATCCAGTTACAAAGGGAATTAGGTTACAGATCACCTGTACACATCTCCCTTCTTGTGACAAAAGTAGACATTTCTCAGACTGGCGAAGCTTTAATCATATTTTACAAAAAATTTGTTAAGTTATGCCAGTTCCACATTGAGGCTCCATTGCTATTTAATGATGGCCATTCTAAGACTATATATACTCTGTTCATTAGTGCCATTGGCCATTTGCATGTCGAATTATTATTTGTCCAGGCAAGGGATATCTCTGGTTTGTGTAGGATGCAACTTATTTATTATTAATTCTACTTCCTGTTTAATTAGTTCAGATGATCGGAAGCTGGATAAAAAAAAATAGAAACACTAGTAACCTGTTACAGTGAATACTATAGGCTTCTAAAAATGAAGGCATTGTTTTCAGGTGTAGAAATTTGTCCTGTGTGCTTAAAAAAAAAAGCTATTGAGGGCCGGGGATCTAGCTCAGTGGTTCAACTGCCTGTCCCTCAAGGACCTGAGTTCGATCCCCAGTACCAAAGAAACCCCAAAAAACTATTGAATATGACATTTGTTCAGTTGCTGGGGCAGAATAGAATTCTGTTTTAATTATGCTTGTTATCTGTTAACACAAATTAGTAATAGAGAATCACATGCTTTATCAAAGCTCCAGATTTAAGAAGGCAAAATAGAAAAATATGTC